CCCCATCCCTGGGGGGATTTAAAAGCCGGGGAGATGTGGTGCTGAGGGACATGGTTTAGTGGTGGGCTTGGCAGTGCTGGGTTATGGTTGGACTGGATGATCCTAAACATCTTTTCCAACCTTAACGATTCTGTGATTCTATGATTCATCAGCAGTGTCACCTATGTCACCGGCTGTGGACGCTCCCCTGCTTGCACCCGCGTCCAGGGCAGCACGGGAAGCGTGTTGGGCTCTAGACCAGGCAGAGCATCCAGGTGGAAACCATTTAGGAAAGCTGGGAAAGCAGCTGGGGTTCACAGAGGGGTAGGCACTAGATCTATCCCTGGTTAAAAAGGGTAAAAGAAAGAGGATAACGGAGGGTGATTAAACGGAGGGTAACTCATAGGAGGTGTGATAGGAAGGGGTCAAACAGCACGGTCTGCTAAGGGAGATGGGTCCTGCAGGTTAGGTTAACCTGTTAGGTTATCGCCTGTTCACGGGGGATGAAGGAGGGCATCCCGCAGACCTCGGGAGCCCTTGGGAAGGGACTGGAGGCAGGAGGAGAGCAGAGATGCCTTGGAGAGCTGCAGCGGGACCTTGGCACGCCTGGGTCCTACAGGCTCTGCCTTCATTCGAGTCACTCGGATGCTGAACCCTCCCCTGGACCTCGGCTGTGTTGAATTTTCCTCTTCCAAAGCACAACCACAGGCTGGAGCGTGCGAACGTGTCGGGGTAAATCACTCAGGTGAGATGGAGGAGACTCTGGCCCGTATTCAGGGCTAAAGCATCACGATGCGGAGCAGGTCGCTTACCTCCCTGAAGAGTTCTGGCCGCGGATCTGTCCCCTGCCACGGCACAGAGCAGCGCTGGCACCTCCCCGTTGCCTCCTGGGGACCCTGCAAGATGCTCTCACCACGTTTCTATCATCAATGTCTTTTTTTAGGGCAGCTCATCCCTCACAGGCGTAGCCTAAGACCTTCCTGAGACCCGACTGTCCCGCACCCTCCCGCGCATCTTCCCCTGGGCCCCGTGGCCGACAGAGGTGCACAGTTGGTGACGATGAGACTGGGGTGGCGAGTCCGGAGGTCGGGGACATCCGTCTCTGTAACGCCTTGGTGTTTTTCTCTTATTAGGAAAGCCGAGCAAGCGAGAAGAATAAGGGAGCCAAGAATGAAGAAGAAAAGGGAAAGGAAGCTCCTTCCAAAGACCCGGCCCGGAAACGAGATACAAAAGTGGGGAAAGACTCTAAAAAGGAAGAAAGCGTTCAGAAAACAGACGCGAAAGTTAAAGCTGAGGCTGAGACCAAGACCAAAGAGGAGAAGGCTATCAACGACAAAGTCAAGGCCATGGAGAAAAAGCTGATGGGGAAGGACAAAAAGGAGGAAGAGAAAGGCTCAGCATTGAAGAAGGACACGGGGAAGGATAAAAAGGAGGAAGAGAAGGGCTCAGCATTGAAGAAGGATGCAGGGAAGGATAAAAAGGAGGAAGAGAAGGGCTCAGCATTGAAGAAGGATGCAGGGAAGGATAAAAAGGAGGAAGAGAAGGGCTCAGCATTGAAGAAGGATGCAGGGAAGGATAAAAAGGAGGAAGAGAAGGGCTCAGCATTGAAGAAGGATGCAGGGAAGGATAAAAAGGAAGAAGAGAAGGGCTCAGCAGCAAAGGAGACAGGGAAGGACAAAAAGGAAGAAGAAAAGGGTTCTGCATTGAAGAAGGGCACAGGGAAGGAGAAAAAGGAGGAAGAGAAGAGTTCAGGATCAAAGAAAGAGACAGAAAAAGACACAAAGGGAGAAGGTAAGAAAGAAAAAGATAAAAAAGAAGAGGAAAAGAGTTCAGCTTTGAAAAAAACAAAGGCAGATGAGAAGGAGAAATCCCAGCCAGAGGCAGAAAAGGCAGCGGAGGAGAAACAGGAGGCGAAGGCAGGGGCCGAGAGCAGCCCCTCCAAGCCCAGCACCGGCAGCTCCCCGGATCAGGCCAAGGACGATGAAGCCTCCAGCATTTTCGATGAGCTCATCGAGAAGGTGAAGAACAACGATGCCGAGGTCACCGAAGTGAACGTGAACAACTCGGACTGCATCAACAACGAGACCCTGGTGCGCTTCACCGAGGCCCTGGAGTTCAACACCGTGGTCAAGCTGTTCGCCTTGGCCAACACCCGTGCCGACGACCACGTGGCCTTCGCCATCGCCATCATGCTGAAGTCCAACAAGGTGCTGACGAGCATCAACCTGGACTCCAACCACATCACGGGCAAGGGCATCCTGGCCATTTTCCGGGCGCTGCTGCAGAACAACACGCTGACGGAGCTGCGTTTCCACAACCAGCGGCACATCTGCGGGGGGAAGACGGAGATGGAGATCGCCAAACTCCTGAAGGAAAACACCACGCTTCTGAAGCTGGGCTACCACTTCGAGCTGGCCGGACCGCGTATGACAGTCACCAACCTGCTGAGCCGAAACATGGACAAACAGAGGCAGAAACGCCTCCAGGAGCAGAAACTGGCACAGGAGCGTGGGGAGAAGAAAGACCTCCTGGAGGTGCCCAAGCCCGGAGCCCTGCCGAAGGGGTCCCCCAAGCCGTCCCCACAGCCGTCCCCCAAGGCTTCCCCCAAAAGCTCTCCCAAGAAAGGGGGTGCGCCCGCCGCGCCGCCCCCGCCTCCTCCTCCGCTCGCCCCTCCGCTGATCACCGAGAACCTGAGGAACTCGCTCTCGCCGGCCACGCAGAGGAAGTTGGGAGACCGGGCGCTGCCGGTCCAGGAGAAGAACTCGCGGGACCAGCTCCTGGCGGCCATCCGCTCCAGCAACCTCAAACAGCTCAAGAAGGCAAGTGCAGGGCCGTGGTGGGGTCGCCTCATGGCAGCACCCATGGGGTTGGTCCGTGGGCTGAGGTCTGGGGTCACGTCTGTCGTCACTTGGGTAGTGCAGAGGTGAGGGCTGTCCTCCTCCGGCGCAGGGTATGGAGCAGGGCGTCCGTGGTCCCGACCCCTGCGCAGAGCATGTGGCAGGGGCAGATCCCTCCCTTTGCCGAGCGTGTCGGGTGGGCAGATCCGTCCTTTTGCACCATCCCTGGCAGAGCAGATGGGGTCAGCAGATCCATCCCTTGGTGGAGCATCCAACAGAAGATCCATCCCTTGGCAGAGAGCATGAAAGGGGCAGATCCATCCCCTGGCATTGCCCCCGGGGTGGGCAGAGCCGCCTCATTCCAGCAGCCGGGTTTGGCTCCGGGGCTTGGGACACAAGGAAGAAGCCAGCTTTAACCTATAACCCCAGGGGCTGGAAATCCAGGACCTCCCCGTGCAGAAAAGGAGTGGCGCGTAGCCACAGCGAGGGAGGCTCACACGCACCCACGGGGACAGGTGTCCGTGCAGTGGGTCCCCAAGGGCGGCAGCTCACCAAGCCCTTGCTGCCGCGTTGGCACGGCTGAGCCCGCGCCCCTGGGGGTGGGAGGTAGCCCGGGGTGGCGGAGAGGCTGCGTCTCCAGCGCTGGTCCCAGCGTGATGCCTTGAAACATCTCACTCGCCCCGGGTGGTTTGTGTCCCCAGCCGGGCTGCCCACGAGCCGGAGTGTGGGGACAACCAGCCCAGCCGAGAGGAGATGTCCCTGGAGCGCTGAGCATCCCCGGCAGCAACAGAGAGAGGGGTCCAGCCCCACCACGGCGGTTCCAGCACCCCCCTTCCTCGCTCTCCGCTCCCCGCAGTAACGCGTTGTCTTCTCTGGCAGGTGGAGGTACCGAAGCTGCTGCAGTAGGGAGCGGGAGGGCTTTCCCCCCGCCGCCCGGCGTGGCAGACCCCAGGACACTCGCCTTTCTCGTGACCGTTTCCATGACAAGCCCTTTGGGACCCTGCAGTGACCGACGCCGAGGAGCAGCGATCTCTCTGGGACAGACGGAGGAAGGGCCGGGCCCGAGGAGGGCCAGCACGGTCGTTGGATGCAGCGCAGGAGGAAGACGTTGTATTTATTATTTTTATGGTTGTGAAGCCTTCAAGCTCTTTCTTTTGCCAGCACCGTGCCCCACTCTGTCCAGCCGCCTGGAGATGCCGAGGATAGAGGAGGGGTCTGTGGAGCCGATCCTTGCGGGAAACCCCTCGGAGCGCGCCGAAGGGGCTTGGCACCCTCCGTCCCAGCTTGCCCGGGGCGAGTGGAGGTACCCTCCCAGCCTCGCTTTTTGGAGGGGCAGGGGCCAGCCAGATCATCGTCACCACTTGCCTCCCCACAGGGTCTCCGGGTGGCCGGGGGCGTTGCGGGGCGCAGGCCCGGCGGTGGGTGCCGGCTGGCGGGGCGCAGGCGCGAAGTCGGGAGGAATCGGCGGGGTCGGAGAAGGGA